CGAAGTAGGTTCTGCATAAAAAAAAAAACACAATTCCAGTCAAAGATGATGGGAATGTAGAGGAACAATACTATAACCACAGCTAAGCAGTAGCTTAGCAAATGTAGTAGTAACCATAGTAATATAAGAACAAGAACTATAATGATAGAAATGACAACAATACCAATAATAACAGTGATAATCAAAGTCACAAAAAAGAAGAAGAAAAGAAAAAAAAAAAAAAATACCCACAATAATAACGGAATCTCGAGCGCAGTGCACAGCCTCTTCTCCCGCAGGTCGTCCACCAGTTCCACATGCCGGAGATCGCAGCCAGCGCCACCTTCAGCATGACCGTCACCTCCACCAGCGGCTCATGCACTGCGGCCAACGTCACCATCTGCGCCTTTTACCTCCTCGAAAATGAAGAGTCCAACATGGTCATCGTCGAGCTTGACCTCGAGTCTGGCTACGTTGCAGAGGAGGCTTCTCTGCAACGCCTGGTGGACGGGAAGGTCGTTAAGAAATACGAGGTACGTTATTCTGGAAGAAGGAGGAAAATCTATGTTCATTTTATGCTTTTATAAATTTTGTCATTGTATTAGATTGTTTATTTATGTATCCACTTGATATAACTAATCACCAATGAAGATATCAACTAGATAGACCCATTCATTGATGGATATATCCACTTGTGGACAATGTATCTACACTTCCTATATCTGATGGTAATTAGATACTCCCACTTGATGTATTTGATTATTCATACAAATATCCAATACATGCATGTAATTAAGATGAATATATATATATATATATATATATATATATATATATATATATATATATATATATATATATATATATATATATATATATATTTGATTGTATATAAATGCCCACTCCATATATCTAATTAGAAATAGATACATGCCATTATATATCTAATTGTATATAAACATCTGCTTCATATAACTGAAAATGAATAAATCGATTTCATAAATCTAATTATAGGTATAATACATCCACTTTACATGTCTAATTTCATAACGGATACACCCGCTTATGCATCTCATGATAAGTAGAATATATCCACTTTACACATCTTATTAAGAGAACAAATACATCTGCTTTATAAACCCAATAGCAAAGATGTATCCACTGTCAATCTCGAATTGGTTTTGTCTTACATTTGCCTCTTGCAGCAAGACGAGCCCGGCGTCGTGGAGCTGTACCTCGATTCTCTGACGTCAGCGGAGGTCTGTCTGACGGTGGCTGTGTCTCGGGAGATCCTGGTCGAAGACGTGAAACCGGGCACCGTCTCCATCTACGACTACTACCAAAACTCTGAGGATAAACTGGTTAAGGTACGTCGTCTCTCACTCTCTTGGAGGTGGGAGGTCGTTTGAAATATTTGGTCTGTGTTTTATCATTTTTATTTATTATTTATATCCCTATTTGTGTGTTTTCTTTTTACCCTTATTCGTTGAATTATACGCGTGTATCTTGTTTGATTAACGTAAAAGTGTGGATGAAATGGCTTATTATTGGTAAAAATATTGTCCTTAGTTTCATTCTTGTTGCTGTTGCTAAACATTTATATTTACTTATTTAGCACACTGCAGCAGTGGAGCAGACTTTCTTCTTATACAATTTTAAACTAATTTGCTTAATTTTCTCTTGACAGCCACTTGTCATAGACAGAACTGGCTGTGCTGTTGCTGAGGGCATTGCGTAACTTATGGTTTGATGCAGAAGTCGAGGGAAGGTCTTAGCATCAAAATCTGCACCCCCCCCCCCACGGCAAAGAGAAAGAGCTACTCCACGCATTGTTTTCTTCATTTTGTGGTTTTCTCTCTCCTTTTAGTGTTTAGGAAGACCTTATGGAGGACACAAGACTCCTGCTTCAGGAGTTCTAAGAATCCCCCCCCCAAAAAAAAAAAAAAATCCATCATTGATGGAAATCTTTCTTTTTTTGTGATTTATGAAGATAATATAAATATTTGTCATTTTGAAAACAGTTTCATATAATTACGAAATCGGTGTCAATTTGCTATTTGGAATGAACTGTATTGGCAACCTATTCAAAATGTGTTCCTGTGATTAAAATTAAAATTTGCAGCATGAAATATGACTTTTATTGCCATAGCACTTAAGGGTTTCTATCTATAAAATATCTCCCTCTCTCTCTCTCTCTTGCTGTCTCTATATTTTCCCCTCATCCTCTGACTCTTTATTTCTGTCTCTCTCACTCTCTCCCTCTCTCTCCCTCTCTCTCCTCTCTCTCCTCTCTCTCCCTCTCTCTCCCTCTCTCTCCCTCTCTCTCCCTCTCTCTCCCTCCTCTCTCCCTCCCTCCCTCCCTCATCTCCCTCTCCTCTCCCTCCCTCTCCCTCTCCCTCTCCCTCTCCCTCTCCCTCTCCCTCTCTCTCTCTCTCTCTCTCTCTCTCTCTCTCTCTCTCTCTTCTTTTCTCTCTCTCTCTCTCTCTCATTCACATATATCTATACATATATATGTTTATAT